AAGTGGGCTAGATAATCAAAGCAGAATATCAGGAAAAAAAACCCGAATCTGCAAGAACAGAGTCAGGAAAGATAAGGCTCAGAATGAAGAAACAAATGCCAAAACTAATTTTAAAAAGTTTTTTTTTCTATAAGAAACAGGGAAAAAAGTCAAAGAAATGATCAGTCCACTAATGGGAAGAAGATGGCAAGAAGGTAATGGGTAAGAGGGAGAAAGTAGAACTGCTTAATTCATTCTTTGAATCTGTTTTCATGCAAAAGGAAAAAATAGTCCGTCCTATCAAAACAGCACTGTAGGAGACACAACAGGAATGCAAATGAAAATAGGCAAGAAAATTGTAAGAAAACACCTAGCTACTCTAGACATGTTCAAATTGCCAGGACCAGGTGGATTACATCCCAAGATTCTGAAGAGGCTGGCAGATTTTGGAACTACTGAATCAAATTCTTCTGAGCTCCTAGAGCATAGGGTAACTACTAGAAGACTGGAAAAGTACATGTGGTTCCAATCTTCAAAAAGGGAGAAATGCGGATGCAGGACTGTACTGTCCAATCAGCCTAATATCAATATCTGGAAAAATCTTGGAAAAAATCAAGAGAAAGATTTGTGAGCACCTAGAAACAAGTAAGGCAATATGGAAACTAACATGGGTTTGTTAAAAACACATCATGTCAGACAAATCTGATTACCTTATTTGAAAAAGTGACCTAGCGGGTCAGATAAATATTTCAGTCATAGTTTAATAAGGCTTTAATAAGGCATTTGATAAAATAGATTTCAGCTTACTTCTTTATAAGATACAACAATGTGGGATAGATAGTATCACCACCAGATGGCTTCACAATTGGCTGACCAACTTAGTGTGTAGTCCTTAGTGGAACTATATGTACATGGAGGGAAATATGCACTGGCACCTCAAGATTCCATCTTAGGCCCAGTAAATGATTTAGATGACAGAATAGAAGGGAAACTCATATTTGCAGAAATCACTAAGGTAAGGGAAATAGCTAATACTTTCAGATTCAGATTGAGAAGGATCTGGACATATTTGAACACGGGACCCTATCCAATAAAATACAATTTATTGATGAGAAACGAATATACTTTAGGCAAAAAAATCAGATGTGTAAGTGTAGAATAGGTGATACCTACCGTAGCTCAACAGCAATAACTGAGAGGGATCTCGGTGTTCTAGTGGACCACCATTTAAATATGAGTCATCAATATGCTGCAGCTCCCAAAAAAGCCAGTGCAGTTCTAGGCTGCATCAGCAGGGGGATAATATTAAGATCATGTGAATTGATTGTGCTGTTCTATATTGCACTGATAGGAGCACACTTGGAATACTGCATCCAGTTCTAGTCATTATGATTTTTTTAAAAGCCACTGGGACCCTAGAAAGAGTACAGAGATGAGCAACAAAAATAAGGGGTCTGGAAGATGAGCAGTTGAGAGAACTGTGGTAGGTATGTCTAAAGAGAAGGACTACTTGACGGGCTATCACAGAGAAGAAGGGGTTGCCCTATTTTACAAAGCACCCGAGGGTATGACAAAAAGTAACAGATGGAAGGTCATTAGAGAGAGATCTAACCTAGAACTTAACTGACAGAACAATCAGTGGAACAACTTCCAAATTCAGCATTAGAATATATAGAAACGCACTTGTGTAAGCGCAGTAAACTTTCTATCTTCTTCTTTTTTTCCTACTGATCTTTGATGAATTGTAAGCCTTGAATCAAGCACTCCCAAAGTTTTTTTTTCCTGTTCTGGTTTTGTTTCTTTTAATTCTGTTTTGCTAAACTATTGTATAAACAATTTAGATAAAGAATTAATAAATGAACCCAACTTGGAAAAATAATTGAAGCAACATGACATTTTATGTAGGAGAGATTCATCCAACAATGTGTACAATAATGTTTTGAATCCACAATTAATGTTCATTGTACAGATATGATAGGGATAGTTGGGGTGACCCAGAAAACATTTTTTAGACTTGTCATTTTTCTGATCCGGCAACTGAACAATGCAAGCTATTTTGCAAAACAAAGCAAAAACTAATCCAAGTGATGTTTCATTATTGTGAAGACAGTTTCGATTCACAATATTTGTTTTTAGGAGAGAAGCAACCTAGAACTAAGAAGAAATTTCCTACAGTTAGAACAATCTATGGAACAACCTGCCTCCAGAAGTTTGTGAATGGTCCAATACTGGAAGTTTTTAAGAAGAGATTGGACAACAATTTGTCAGAAATGGTATAGGATTTCCTGCCTAAGCAGGGATTGGACTAGAAGACCTCCAAGGCCCCTTCCAACTTTGTTATTCTATTCCATTCCATTCCATTGAAAAAAACTAGGTCTGAAAAAAAGACAGTGAATTATAGGACTTTAAGATCTTGCATATTACATCTCTGTGTATACATGCATAAATTTAGTCTTGTATATCTACATAAACACAGAAAATGACATTGGGGGAAAATTTACTCAAATACATCTGCTTTCTTATTAAATTTCTAATCACCATGATGTAAGACCTTGCTACCTTATTGTGTAATTTGAATGTGAAAATAACTAATGATCTGGAGTTTTCAATACAGACTCTGTGCAATATTTTCTGCTGTTTATGGTTAGCATCAGTGCCAGTTTCAATAAATGAAAAGTCTGCTTTCTTGGATTATATTTGGGATCCAAATCCTTAACTATAAATGAGGAATGATCTATATATTGACTGCTGCTGTTTATGTGCAAATAGCAAATGAACTTAGATGCTTCTTAAAGTAAGCATTGTCAATAACAGCATGATTAATGCCAGGGCTCTCAAGCGTGGCATTAATGAATGCAACCCTCTATTTTCTGTACCCCACAACAATAGTTATAGAAAATCCTGCAAGGGGGAGGAATATCCCAAAAGCAAATGGCATTGCTCCTTCCTCATTTCATTGGGGATAACAAGGCAAGAACAAACTAGATGAAGACTGAGACAGAAAAGGCTTGCCTGCTCATTAGTGGTCCTGAACAATCAAATAAACTGCATATTTAGATTGACTGTGCAATTTACTGAACTCAGCTAAGGGGTACAGTACAGATCCTCCCTTGGAGTGCAAGCCACCTAATAGTGAGGAGCTGCAGCAGTGGTACTGGGAACAGGCAAGTGGGGAAGAATGGGCCCTAGCTATGGCCTCATTATGTGGCTGTGAGTACAGCCCAGGGGTCAGCAACCCGCGACTATGTAGCCGCATGTGGCTCTTTTATCCCTCTGCTGTGGCTCCCTGTCACTCAAAATATGTGTCACAACTGCCAATGTGTGACACCCACCAGCATGTGATTTATTGAGCTTTTCAACCTTCGGTAGACCAACCATGGGTAAATCCAAGAAAAAAAAAGTTTCAGAAGAAAACAATGTTTAATTCAATTACATATGCTAAGTTTTGTGGCCGCTCTGGAAATAGTCAGGCATGGGAAGGATTTTGTGGTTCCAGTGTTTTCTGTGGGAAACTGGTTCAAATGGTTCTTTGAGTATTTAAGGTTGCCAACCACTGGTATACAACCATTTATCAACCTGCCTTGCCCTATTTCTTCTTAACCTATAGCCCACCTTTCTCAACCTTCTTACCCTAGAGGAACCCTTGAAATAATTTTCTGGTCTTAATGATCTCCTGCATAAACTAACATGGCATAACGTGGCAAGTTTTAAAAAGTTACTTTTATAATGATTTTTTCCTGAAAAGAATGCACTTCAGTAACGGAGACATAGCAATTGGGGAAGAATAGGCCCAAGCTGGGATGGCCTTGCTCTTTTTGGACTCCTGAGGCAAAGGGAAGATCTTAATAAGGCGACACTAGTAGGATAAATAAAAGGCAGATAAATAACTAAGATTCAGCTCTGGTGAAGTGCATGCGAAAGTACTTCTGTCTACAATTTCAGCAATCACATTTAGTGGGTCTTCAGTAAGACCTAACAGCTTCATTCCTTGCCATTACTTTCTGCACAAGGACCATCTGTCCTACATACATTCAAACTACTGCCATTACCTCAACAGTCATCCTACAGCTATCTCCATAGCCTTAGTAGTCAAAGTAAAATAATAAATAATTAACTGTTTCATGGTAAAATAAATTAATACATTTTATCTTTCATGGCATTTTCTTCATCTTTGATTCACTAGAGACTTTTCTGTTTATGAAAAGACTTCAGTGTTCTGAACGTTGAGCAAACCAACCAATCTTATTGCAGCATTCATTATCTTTTTAAGTTTGACTTATAGTATATTGTGTGAATAAGTAACTAGTTAGATAATTTGATGGGTGTATATATGAAGTGGGAAAATAACTAGGGGGCGGTTGTATCTTTATTAAGAAGTGGAGCCTGTAGGTTTAATCTTATTTAATGCATATTAATAAAGCTTTGTTTATTTTTTAAAATGCATATTTAAAATATAAGTTTCCTAAATTATTTTTCTCTCACTACAGCTGTATAAAGAATCATGTATGAGTAGTCCTTGTATAGCAACCACAATTGGGACTGGCAACTGGTAAAGCAGTTGCTAAGTGAAACTACAGCTTATGATCCTACTTCAGTTGTCCTTTGGCTTTCAGATCTTACACAAGAAAAGTGACTTCAAATCCAAACATGTTCTTTTTAAAGAATGCACAAGTTTGCATATAATTTTCCATAAGTTTGCACTTGTTTGGTTATAACTCTGAATACTATATTATCCTATAACAGTGTTTTTTCAGGCTCTAGAACTGTAGGGTTTGATGAGAACTTGATGGGGTTTTGTGAGAGCAAGAGCAATCCCCCCCTAAATCACTTCAGTACAGTCAATTTTCTGGCACTGGACCTTTGCCTTTTTTATATTGGATGAATACAATTACCTAGAAACAATTATCAGGTCTCGGGGCACCACTTCATTCTGATTTTACAGCCAGTTTTGTTATTATTTAATGATTTTAATTATTTGTTTTGTGCCTTATCTGAACTGTGATGTTTTTACTTTAATCTAGGGTGAAAAAAATAATGGCTTTGATGTCCTTTATCATAATATGAAACATGGCCATACATCTACAAAGGAATTAGCAGATTTTATAAGAGAAAGGTATGTGACCTTTTTAGCTTATTTTTCTGATTTAGAATAATCTTGATTTATGCAAAAATTGAAAGAGCGCATTCCTTAAAGCAATTATGCTTAATTTGGATGCTTTCCAGACCAACTTCTGAATATTCCGTAACAACAATGCTGGCAGAAAATTCTGGTTGTTGAAATGTACACATCAGGTTCCAGGAATAGTTTTGTGTTTTTTTCTTTAAATACTTCTCATTGTGTTTCATAATTGTGTTAACACAATTATATAATGCATTATTATCTAATTAATAATATTGTTTAATGTTGTATTATTTTAAAACTTTCTAGAAATTAATTTATGGTCCTGTTTCCATGACATAGTTCACCTTTTATTTACTAGTCAACATTCTTTGCTAGTGAGTCAGTTTGCAATCATTGAGTTAAAATGTTCAGTCGTTTTTATTACAGATATGTGCATGATGTCTATATATTTCTTTATATAGAGAGATAGATATTTTTAGATGGTTCCACTTTTTACTCTCACTGAGGTTTATATATTTTAATTTTTATGGAAATTTTTATTTTTAGAAATTATTTTAAATTGTTTATAATGATTACTTGTGTATATTTGTTGATTATTAGATGTACACTGCCAGAGTAATTTTTTGTGAGATGGGTAGCCTTATAAATGTGATTTGTAAAAAAATAAAATAAATATAACACTATGAATCGCATGAGTTAGTAAGGTCCTATCCCCAGCAACTAGGAAGTTCCTAGTACCTCATGAAACTCTGCATAGGAAGTATTGGCGAGTCTTCATGATATCACACCACTGGCTGGTCAGGCAGGAATGAATGGAAAATGGGATATAGAAAAGAAAAAGAAAGAAAGGAGTCAGCACTTCAAACACTAATCCCAATCAAGAGGAACTCACTTCTCTCCCTTGAGATACCATCTCTATAGATAGCTACCCTTCTGCAAAATTTACATTATTTTCTCAATATTCTACCTATTATGGCCAGCATCCAGAAATAGTCTATGGGATAATAGGTTTATCTGCTGTATCCCTTGCAAGAAAAATGAAGTCTTTAATGAAAGCATAAAATTACACCAAATGATTCAGCCATCCCAAAACGTAGAGTTCCAACAATAAACATAAGACAGGTTGGGGGTGTTGGGAGAAAACGTAAAAAAGGAACACATGCCCAGTAAATAGGACATCAGACACAAGACTCCTCCTGCATAATCTATGCATGTCATGCATGCATCTTCTCAAATACTTTTACACAACTGGGAGTAGAAGCATTTAAAGTGGTGGCCAGCTGTTTGAGCTATGCAGTGATTTAAGATATCACTGTAATTATTTGTAATACATGATGACATCTCTGATCTGCATCGTGGTTTTCATCTTGCTTGTGCCTGTTGAAATTTGACATGAGAGATGCTCTTAACTTTTTCTAAGGCTTTTCCCCATTTTTCTCTCTGCTGTGAATAGGAGGGAATCCTTCCTGTACTTGACCTGAGTGGGTACCCCAATCTGATGTGGTCTGCATCTCTATTTCACATATGGTTGGTTATTATGAGGGAGTTATTATGTGATTCTGGTGTTTTCTGGAATCTGAATGCTGATGCTGCCAAGAGGATTGTTCCTTGGAGTCAGGCTATGTGTAGCTAACTTTCTTCTGGCTGCCTAGGTGAAGCATTTGCCTTGTGGAGAGTGAGTTATTTTCTGGTGTTATTTTCTGGTGTCATAGAACTAGGGTGAAGAACTCCTTCCCTTTACCCATTTGATGAATGGGGCTTTTTGGGGACAGGCTTATCTTCTCAGCTGAGATTGGCAGCTATTGGCATGATTTTCATAGAAGAGCTTGAGAACGTTTTGCATTCTTCTGAATTGTGCCTATTCTCTCGAAATGTTGCTATTTCTTCACGTTTGGAGGTGTGAGTTCATTTTGTTACATTGTAGTGAGCGGCCCTAGTTTAATTTTTTTAACCATTTTATTTCATTACTGGATATAAATATTTCTAAGTGATATATTCTACAAGCTTCCTAATGAGCAGAGAGAATTTCGTTCTCTGCCATCCAGTGAGTTGGGAAAACAAAGTTGCTGCCTACAACTTTGCCTACGACCAGGATATGAGCATTGCATTCCCAATGATGATTAAAGGGCCTTTTCTCATTCCAGCTTTTTCTCTTGGATAACTAGATATGCAAATTAGATGTTTCAGTGCAAAATGAACTGGTTCTTTTTGGGTTTACATGTAACATTGTCGAAGTTGACTAAACCCATAACTTATTTTTGTTGTTCTTACAACATTCAGCTGGCAGGATCTGGAAGGATGGCTTTCTTCGCTGCTACCCCCATCTTACGGAACATTGTGCCCTCAGAGGCGAGACAAGACCCCACTTAATATTTGGTTTTACCACCTAACACAGGACTCTAAAAATATGATGTAGCCTTTGGGATGGCTGAGGACATTTCGGCCGCTTTATTAATCTTCTAGCCATTTGAATTTTGTACCTTGGTTTTTAGCTTTACTTGGAAGTTTTAACCTGCTTTAATTCTGTTTTTAATTTATGCTTTTATTCTTGCATTTATATGATTGTATGATGTTGTAAATCCAGTTACTTAGGTAAAATAGATAATGTAGACATTTAAGTAATTAATATGCTTAACTCTGTCCCCATTGACCCTCTGAAGCATATTGTAGAAATAGTGCCTGTATCTTAATGATTTGTCCGTTATTTTATATTAAGTAGCAAACTTGAAGTACAATTTTAAACATGTGAGTTAAAAATAAGGCCTGTTTAATTAAGTGGGTTCCCAAGTAAAAGTGTGAAGGAGTGCAGCATTAATGAAACAATAAGGCTTGGACTTAAAATAATAAGCTACAAGAAAATATTCTTTGAAACATTTTTTCATTACTAGATTCCTATATATTTGTATGTGTTTAAATTTTGTTTTAGAAATTTTTGGCATAACATGTTAGATTAAAGTCTTGGCTGTTTGGTGCTCGGTTTGTTTCTTAGTTTATTAATCAACACTTCATTAACTTTAATATATTTTACAGCATTTATTTCTTCAAAAGATTCATAAAACACAGTTAGACAAGTGGAATAATAAAATGTATAATAATAAAAATGTGGAGACACACACACACACACATACAATATTTTCTATTTTAAAGACATCAGTAAAATATCAGTTGTTAAGCAAACCCATTGTCTGCAATGGGTGTTTTTTGCTAGAAATCAGAATAAAATGTTGGTTTCCAGAAAAAGAATGTAATTAGCAATCATGTGACTGCCGGATACTGCAAATGGCCACAAATGTGGATTGATTGCCAAGTGTCCAAAATGTGACTGTGTGACCATACATTAGAACTTCGAATCTGGGTCATAAGAGAATCCGCTGTAACTTTGAACAGTCATTAAGCAACCAATTGTAAGTCAAGGACTACTTGTATAATTTAGTTCACAGTTATTGTTGAAACACTAATGCCAAATAAGAAATTTGAGGTGAAACAGGAGAATAGTTCTCAACAGAAACTGATTTCCATCTCTTCAAAACAAGCAGAACCACATGACTGTCCGCTGATTGCTACTTTTTGTAATCTCTGCTCTTTTCTGCTAAATTACAAACACTAAACAGGTTTTGTCAACAGGTTTTGTAAAATATAATTTAGGTCTCTCCCATGAGATATTTCATAATGAGCGTTGTAAGAGTCACTGAATGCCTGATTACTCTTAATGAGACATTCAGTCTTCTATCATTGGACTTTCAGACATAAAAACAGTGGACATATCATATGTTGGCAGTCCCCAAACTATTGCAGTTAGTAAGATAGGAGATTAAAAAATGGGGTAGAAAGATTATTTCCCTGTAAAATATCTTTCTGAAAAAATACTGTCTGTGTTTTATGATTTCAGTTGTGATATTGTCAGCATCTTTATTTCTTTTATTATATAAGAATGGATTTTCATATAATATTGTATATTTAAATATTTGAGAGAACCAGTTTGATAAAATTGTTAAGGCATCAGGCTAGAAACTGGTCCCGTGAATTTTAGTCCTATTTTAGATACAAAGCTAGCTGGATGGTCTTGGTTCAGTCACACTTTCTCAGTGGCAAACCACTTCTGAAATCTTGTTAGGAAAACTGACAGAAATTTGTCCCAACAGTCTCCAGGAGTCAAAACTGACTTGAAAGCTATTGATGAGAATTGAAATGAGTGAGTTAAAATATACCTGTACAATAAATATACTGATGTAGGCCAACATATCTGCTTCCATAGTTGCAAAGAATTTTGAAAGTCCAAACAAAAGGCAAGTATAGACTAGTAATCCTTAATTAAATTCCCGTGTACAAGAAATTAGTATAAGTACTAAGAACTATTTCTATCATACCATGTCCCAAGAATGTTTCATAAATGGATATATATTTTTAATATTTGCAAAAATGGAGTCATGGGCTTTTACATTAATTATTGTAGATAGTACTGAAGAATTTCTCCCTCAAATAACATTGTGTAAGTAAAATTAGAAGTTTCTAATACAGAAATCCACAAAACTGGATAGTACATAAATAACTGTACCAGCTTTTTAGAGTTGTATTTGCCGTAGCATCTGTAACTTGAGCAAGCCGTATTTAATGGAGACTTTACTTTTGAAACCCTTCCACTTGAATAGACCATTGCAGAACTTCTATAGACTCTTTCTCTATTGTATATGTTACTGACAATGTGTGAAAAGCTGGCACTGTATATATGCATGCTGTTTTAGGCAAAGTATGAAATGTCTGTTACTTTAATATGCTATATATTTTCCCTAATACCTAGGCATTATGCAGAATAACAAGAAGTATTTAGGGAAAGTATGAAACAGAGTCATTAAAAAGGTTAGGGTTAGAGATAGGGTTAGGGTTAACCCTAATCCTAACCCTTTATTGAAACTATGTATATGAAAATAAAAGAAGAAATGCAAAATAAAGTACAGGAAATAGTGAAACATTAAGTGTGTCATTCTTTAATGTCCCATTTTTAGCATTCTGTAGATTTGCAGTAATGGTGAATATCTGTAGCTCTGGTGTAGGATGAGGGTGAAGGTTCGTTCTCCGAGCTTGCGGGTTGGTTTCCGAACGTTTCATTAGCAGACTAGATAACATCTTCTGCAGAGTATCAGTGTCAGACTCTCAGCGATGACTCACACCTGACCCATCACAAGATCCTCCCTTGACACACCCACGCTTGACCTATCACAAGACCTACTGACCACACCAAGCCCTTAGAAACAGGAACACTGACATTGACATTCCCTAAACTCCACTGAAAATATTACCTAGCCTGGTAATGAAATGTTTGGAAACCAACCCACAAACTGGGTGAACGAACCCTCTTTCTGTAGATTTCCTAGGCATTCTATAAAATGTCTATTTCACACATTGATGGTAACATATATAATCTCTGAAGAATATAGTTTCCCTAAAGTGCTTGGACAGAATTTTGTACATCATAGTCTGAGTAATGAATGCTGCACTTGGCTCATCGTTTGTTTTGCATCTATTTGTAAAACAAAAGATACATTAAATCTGGAACCTTTCAACCCAGGTTCTCTACACAATGTACTTTTCAAATACTTAAATGACTTTTAATATTCCTCTGTCCACTGAACTATTCAGATTAATTGTTACATTTGAAAGAGTGTGATTCCAAACTGCAGCACAGTGCCTTGGAGCATTGTAATAAACCACAGGGGCAGCTGTGGGATATTTTAAATTTTTATGACCTTAAAGCAGGGTTTGGTATTGTCATATTTTTGTGAAGTTGGGTTTTCAGTGACTGCTGTGACAAAAACCAGTGTCGAACAGGAAATGAGGGTGCTGATATTCAATGCAATTCCAGGTTTGAGAATGAGAAACAACAAATACATCCATTACTAAGTAATTATGGTTATTTAAGAATGAAATTGAAAGATATTTTTTTTAATTTCAATTTATGTGTGCTATTTTTTGAAACAGTTGTTAGGTTATAAATACTTATTGTTTTGACTTAACTGTTTAACAAAAAGAACTGCTAGCTGTTTCATTTGGCCTAAGGGCTCAATGAAAGAATTACTGTATATACTAAGAGCATGGTGAACTGAGAAAGTTTCTCAGTTATATAAGGATTTGCACCCTAAGGTAGATATTATGGGAATGATCTATAATAACTAAAAATTAAAGTTAAGAAGGCTTTCACTTCTTCATTTCAGGAAATCTAGCCAGAACAATCATCTCTATTTTAGAGTACTGAATCTGGTCTAACAAGGGTATCCATTCTAAATCCCAGGTATTTTGTTTCTTGGAAACCAAGGACACGCCTAGAGGGTTAAGAATTAGATAAGCTCTGTGGAGTCTTCCTACCACATGCTTTACATGTTCCAGATGCTTCTCTTAGCTGCAAGGACAAATAATCAAATCATCTACATACTTTCCATGCTGCTATCTTTGACCAAGCAATATCTGATAGATGAGCCTCAAATCCATTTCAGAAGACTGATGGAGTCCAAAAAGAATCTATGTGAAAAAAGTCTTAAGGGGTAGAAAAGGTGGTCTGAATTTGTTTTCAAGTGGAGTCTGCCAATATTACTTTGTGAAGTTTAAGATGAATGGATAGGAGGATAAATGGATGAATACGCACATGTGCAGGGGGGAAGGGAGATTGAACCGGTCAATCAGTCTTCTATCTTTGGAAAATGATTAACTATCAAACTATCAGTGTTGCTCATTTCTTTGCCTCATAGGGTTTGGAGCCAGTGCAGTGGGGGTTTTGCTTACTGTTTGCTATTGGAAAATTCTCTTACTCCCAGTTTCAACGTTTTCATAGCTTAACTTTCATTATGTGTCAAAGCCCCTCTAGGGTAGAAAATGAGACACTGAACATATTATAAAAAATTATGGGAATGGAGGAGATGAAAACTGGAATCAATATTGGAAGTTGAAAGCATAAGAATTTGAGATATGGAGATTATAATATCTTATTGGCCCAAAACAAAGAAGGCATAGAGGAGCTTATTGCTAAAGTAAAAACATAAGTTTAAAATATCCAGATTAATGTTCAGTATGTCAATCTTAGATTCCATTCAGAAAAATCAGAATTCTTTAAACAATCTTACATATGGTTGTGAAAGCTGGACAGTGAAAAAGAAGATACGTATCTTCAAATTATGAATTAGGAGGTGGTTGTTAAAGATATAAGGGGTTGTAGAAAGAATGACTCAGTCAACCTAGACCAAATAGAGTGATTCTTCCCTTGGGGTAATATCAGCAAGCAGAAGAAGAAACATACATGGGCCGTGATGAGAACAAAAGATGGAAATATGATGGCTTGCCAAAGTTGAGGCTACAGTGGGAAGGAAAGACAAAATAATTTTCCAGGAAAGCAGTAAAAGAAGGAACAAACTCAATGGCATTTAATGCTAACTAATTTTTATCTGCTAAAAATTGAACCAGTTGTTGAGATCAAAGTTATGTACAGGAAATAGTAACTGCAAATATTTGCTAAACTAGGATGATTTTTAAAGAGTAGGCTACGTTTTGGAGGGCATAGGGAATTTTGTTGTTTTTAGAACAGGTAGTCCTCAACTTACAATCAGTTGTTTAATTCAAAGTTACCCAAATCTTGGAAAGGTGGTTTGTGGCCCGTAAAACACTTCTGGCCATTGTAGAATATTGTACCCTTCCCTCCCACAGTCATCTGGCACTTTCAGGTATTTGGCAACCAGCTCGCATTCACCCCACAATCATATGATTGCCATTTGAAGCCTTCCTGTCAACTTTCCAAGAAAGTCAGTGAAGAAGTTGGATAGGGAATGTTGCAAGTGGAAGAGATGGAGAGAAATTGAAATCTTTCTGATAGCTGCAGAAATGGAGCTGAAATTCTGAAAATTTTGCAGCCTGCCAAAGGATTTCCCCTCCATGTGCTAAGGGGAGATGAAATATTTCAGCTGACTGCAAGAACATTTGTACTTCTATCAGTTTTTATTATTGCTTAAACTCACCTTCTTAATAAGCTTTTGTGGAATTAAAAAGACGTGGTATAATTTTCAACATTTAAATGAGGTAGTTCTCACCTTATGACCACTTGTTTAGTGACCATTAAAAAGTAGGAAGGCCCTGAACGCTGGGACTTACAAGGTTTGTCTGAAGTTCAAACCATTGCAGCAAGCGCATTTATGCGCATGTGATCAAAATTTGGGCACTTGACAGCATGCCTGCCTTTATGACTGGGAACACTGCAACTGAGGGGGCCAGAAAGCCTCAATCAGCTAGACTCAGCAGTGCACAGATCTCTTGCCTCCCCCTCCCCCTCTCAAGAAGCCTACCCTTCTCCCACCACTCACCCCATACCAAAAAATCTTGGATGGCACTTGGAAAAATAGTGTATTGACAAAATTTCCATCTGTCAATTGCAAAAAGCTACTTGGATTTGCAGTTGACAGATGGAAATTGATTGGATTTGCTCATGTATTATGCCAATATATTATGGCATACTAAGTTTAGGAAGAACTCAGTGAGTATGAAGGCCAACAGAAGACCCTGCAATTGTTATGAATATAAAAAGAAAATAAAGAATATTACAAAATATAAAGTTCTTCAAATAGAAGGAGAACAACTGTGACAAAGAAAGCAAGGACAATACTAATAGTAATAGGCTCCTTGGATTCAGTTCCAAAATATCTAGAACACCATTTGAATACCATAAAGCATTGACAAAATTACCATGAATCTCAGTATAAGAGGCAGTTTTACTTGGAATAGCTTACATTCTGAGATAATACCTTTAATATTTATAAACATCTGCCTATCTCAGGTCTTTGGGAGGATTTCTCTAGGTGGATTAAAACACCAAATCCAGTCTAAATAATCTGGCTGACTGTGTGACCACCCATAATAATGCAAGCTAAGTCTAATTTTATGAGGAAAAAACTGTGATGGCATAATAACAGAGATAACAGGGAGAAAACCAAATTGATGTTTCATTTGCAAGCAAATTATTTTTTTCCCCAATCAAATTCTAGGACAAAGCTGCTTTTCTTTACATATTACAAGAAGGGAGCTGGGTTTTTTTTTCCATGCCCATGACACTGTTCTAGCATGTTAATACTTTGAAAGTTTGTAGTTGTGGAGATGTTGATCTCAGTTTTTTTCTTCTATTCAATTGTGTATCATTCTCAGAGACTTCCTGTACAAGTCCCTGCAGTTTTTTTGGTAAGGTATTTGCAAAGATGATTTGTCATTGCCTCCTATCTAGAACTGAGAGAAAGATAGTGCCCAAGGTTATCCAGCTAACTGTCTCAGGGGCAACTCACGGTCTCTGAGTTTCTAGCCTTTATGCCTTAACCACTACACCAAAATATCTCTTAAGTGAGCTCAATTAGGGCTGGATTAATATAATTAGTGATTACTGTTTTTATTAATCTAAGAACAATATAGATTTTGCACTTAGTTTGCTAAGCAAACAAAACAGGGTTGTTCTTTTTTTCTTAATAGGGCTACAATAGAGGAAGCCTATTCAAGGTCAATGACAAAGCTCGCCAAATCAGCAAGTAACTATTCTCAGATTGGGTAAGTTGATGGAGTCTAATAGCAATACAGCTTGATTCAGATTCTGTTTTAATATCGGAAATACTTGAAAGGCTGATTGAAAGCATTGGGGTGGCTTTTCTGCTTTTCTCAACATAATCCCATTAATATTTGTAATTTTAGTGTTATAGTGGTTGTCTGAAATCCCAGAAGAAACAGAATCTACACGTGCTAGACTTCTTGCTAAGAATACAATGTTAAGTTCCACCAAAAAAATTCTGACTATATTCTTGAGGTTGAACTAAACCTCCTGAAGTTAACTGGATATTGCTTTCCTCAACTTTACTTGAAAGCCTTTCAACATCAGTTCTACCATATCCATAACTGCTGAATTTAAGTCATGTAATTATTGTGAATCCTATTCTATAAATGTAAAGACATTTGAAAATCCTGTGAATGATATTTTTTCCAGTTTAATAATAAGATCAGAGCATTCATTTATATTGAATTGCAGTAAATATCTATGGCAATTATACTTGATTTTTGAGAGTTAGATCTAGCTCAAACCTTATCTACATTTAGATGGCTAACTGTAAGCATATTTGCTTTTAGAATAATTAAATAGGCATCTTTTTAACAATACATACTACACTATAAGAAAACATTGTATAATATATTACCTTAATTTCAAATGATTTTGGTACTAAACTACTGTCATTTTCATTTCTTAGGACATTTGCACCAGTCTGGGATGTTTTCAAATCATCAACCGAAAAACTAGCATGCTGTCATCTAGAACTTGTTCGAAAGCTGCAAGAACTAATAAAAGAAGTGCAGAAATATGGAGATGAACAAATAAAAGCTCATAAAAAGGTTTTATATATATATATATATATATGCCTAAATTTTCTTTAATTGTTTTACATAAAATAGTGAATTGATAGCATTTAACACCTGTATGATATTTAACAGACTAAGGAAGAAGTTTCTGGGACTTTGGAAGCAGTTCAAAATTTTCAGAGTATTACCCAAGCCCTGCAAAAAGCAAAAGAAAACTACAATTCAAAATGCGTGGAACAAGAACGTTTGAAAAAAGAAGGTGCAACACAGAGAGAAATAGACAAGGTAACTTTTTTTAAGTCTTTTGTTTTTGCATTTTTCATACAGATTTCTTTTTCTAGATGAGACAATATTAGTGATAAGTGAGACATGTTGTTTGCTTATTGGAATAGTTATACATTAGCAAACATTTAAGCCTAAATGTATCATTTTTGCTACTTTATTCCCCACATTGACTTAAACATTGTGTTGTGCTCTCCTGAAAATGTATACTATCAATTCTGGTGACTATATAAGTCAAATACCTTAAAGTAGCCAGTATTCCATAGTCTGATTTTTTTTAAAAAAAAAAACAATATTGTTTAGCTTTGACAAATTGTAGACATGATTATTTTATTTGGGGCCATTATTCATCTGAAATCCAAGCAGATATTACTTCATTCGTAGTACTCATATTTTTCATAAACTGTGGCGCTGTCCTATTTTTGTTTGAGACTACAGATTTTTAATGGGAATAAAAAAATAGATTGAACAATCATTCTCTTAGATATGTTATAATAACACTGTTATGTAGGTTGTTACAGGGGAAAAGATTTTATATATTTTATTAAAATATTAGATGTTCTGTTAATTTATTATGAGTTAATGGTAAGAATTGATATTTACTTGAAAGCCAATGAATACATGCAAGGAAAAGTAAAGGTTGATATATATTTATTTTGGTAATCATACAGAAGTTGCTTGTCACTGCCTTCTTCCAGAATATTGTTTTGCTTTTGCCTCCCAGAGTAATCAATAATTCTGGGATCCCTATGCATTAGCAAGGACTCTCAACCAATCCTGGCTAATTCTGCTCCCAAAACTGGCCAGAACTAAATTTATGGAAAAATATCTTCTTCCTCTGATTTGTCTAGGCGGCAGTAAAATCCAAGAAAGCTACTGAAATGTACAAATTATACGTAGAAAAATATGCTGTAGCAAAATCTGAGTTTGAACAAAAGATGAATGAAACTTCCAAGGTAAACTTTATCTCCAATTTGTTAAATCAAAAGTTATCTTGAAGTAGATTCGTTGAACCAGAATGTATGTTCCAAGCATATCTAAATCTGAATCTTAGCCATTATATATAAAATAGCTAGAATCTTGGTTTATTTTTATTCCATCTTTACAGACAGTTTTCCTCCCTTTTATTTTGATGCATTTTGCAAGGAATCTGATAGAAGAGAATACAAAATCCAGGTTGACTAAAAACTATTTGTAATTGAGTTTCAGAGGAAATGTTTGTACATAAATCCTAGTCTTGGGGACATTTTTAAATCTGGGCATGTTGTTCTTTATATGCATTAAGAGCTGCGGTGGTGCAGTGTTTAGAATGCAGTACTGCAGGCTACTTCTGCTGACTGCCGGCTGCCTGCAGTTTGGCAGTTTGAATCTCACCAGGCTCAAGGTTGACTCAGCTTTCCATCCTTCCCAAGTTGGGTAAAATGAGGACCCAAATTGTTGGGGGCAATATGCTGACTCTGTAAACCGCTTAGAGAGGGCTGATAAAGCACTGTGAAGCAGTATATAAGTATGTGCTATTGTTATTAATGTTCTTTTTGAGAAGAATTGTTGAACCTGTCTTTTTCATTGCATTAAATTAAAATCTTTTTATATTACAGAAATTTCAAGATATTGAAGAAATGCATCTCTTCCATATGAAAGAGATTATAGAATCTTTTTCAAGGACAATACATGAAATTCATTTACAGATTGGAGAGGTGAGTCATTTATTGTGTTTGATTAATGAAACATTAATGAAACAGTTTCATATCTGAACTGCCATCCTATCAAGATTCGTATTTAATATTTATTGAAATGATTTGGGAAGATTTAAAGGGATAATTGTAATGCAGTTTTTAAATATTGCATTATAATATAAATAGTGTATTATTTTTTTATCATATAATATAAAATATTTTAAATTTAAATATTTTTATATCTAGAAGGAGCAATTATTTTATCAATAAAAAATAGTAAAATATGAATAATACATTTTTCTCATAACATAATTAAATTTTTATATTTCTGGTTGTTTGCAATACTAGTGATTGCCTTTTGATTATATTTAGAGAACATCTGAGACAGAAACCAGCATGTGGTTCTTCCCTTTGGATCACTGAGAAATTTTCTATCCTCTCCTCCCCACCCCACCCATTATGTTTTGTCTCGTTTCCTATAATTGTGCACTTTAGAAAAAAATATTTACTTCATGCAGTATTGCTGCATTCTGTACATCAGAAAATTAATCCATGTTATTAAGAAGTCTTTTATTCTGTACAGATAAAGTAGAGATGTAGGAAATCACTGTAACAAAAAAGCTAGATAAAAACAAGTGATAAATTAGCTTATACCTCCTTAGTTCATAAATAACTAGATTTAAACCCATTATAAACATGGTAAATCTTAACAATATTTCATCTTCCTCCTATATTTATTTTTAATAAAAGGTGTCATTTTTATTCTGAATTGTTGTAGCAAGCATATGCAGAATTACATTATACTGGAATTATGCCAAAGGGAAAATAGGTTTAAATATTATTGAAAATGATAGACAAAAGGACTGTTCAAAAAATGAAAATATGGCATAAATAAACTTTCATCATACAATCATTCAAATATGGGAAATGAAGCTGCTGCCTCATATTAATTATAACACTACAGTGGCAAATCAGCGAAAACATATTTAACCCATATCTTAGTTAGCTAAATCAACCTTTCTAAATACTTGGGCCAAAAAATTACTTCTATCAAATGCTACAGCATTTTTAGAATTCTTAGAAGATCATTATGTCAAGAGAAAAGTTCCCAATCATTTAAAATATTCAAGAATACTTACAGAAATTGAAAAATGTAGACCTCCACAAAAGGAGAAATTAAAAAGGGTTATAAAGATGAAGAGAGAAATAACAACTGGAAAAAAAACCCTGTTTGAATTCAGTTAAACAGCAAGGATACAGAAAAAGATACAATATGGAGACCATCTCTCAAAGCTAGGACAGAAAACAAAAGTTAATGGTCAAAAGAAAAATAATATATTAAGAAAAAATGGACAGTGAAGTTGCCTGGCTCTGACTTTCACAGAGGCTGCAAGAAACAGAAGTCAAAATACCTTAAATTTAGAATATTGCAGAGACCATTTCTCTGAATAAATCCTTCATATTTGATTGCTATAACCTTTATAAGCTTGCCTGGGCTGCATTGAATGAAGAACTGTCCTGGGCTTCACATAAGTATATATAAAATATAGTTAATGTATCTAAGTAACATTTCCATTATTTTTTATATTTATTATTATCTTGTGGGGCTCCATTACTAGCTATCCAGGGCTGCATGCAACCAGGGTTGGACACACCTGCTTTCTCTTTCATGTTTAAGCTTCTGCAGTGTTAAAATTCCTCAGTAATCTTAAACTCAACTATTTTTTTCCTGAAAGGTCCAAGAAGAATTTATAAATAACATGGCAAACACAACAGTTGAAAGCTTGATACAAAAATTTGCTGAGTTAAAAGGCACAGGCAAAGACAGACCTGGTGAGTTTTTGTTTGTTTGTTTTTAATGAACCTATATCCAAGCCAGATAAAATTAACATTAACATTTAATTTAAAATTTCACTTTATATTCTTTAATTTAAACATATTTTGAGTCTGGAAATTAATGAATTCCTAAAATTTATTGTGTAGAAAAATAGACCCAAAGTATATCTTCCTTCCTTCCCCCCTCCCTCCCTCCCTGCACACATGAGATAGCACATAATCTCATAGAGGTTGTCTGATTTGCTTCAACAAAGATAGCCTTCAATTACTTGGTCCTCTACTTCAGGGGAATTATCTTGGTCTAGGTATTTGTAGGCTGGTCAGTTTTGGGATTGTGCCTGCCATGTGCATAGAAACAATCCAACATTTTCAGCATGCACTGGCACATGCTGTTTGATTGTTTATAGTGCTTATCAGAACTGTCCATTGTAGAAGATCTTCAGTATGAAGTTTTTAGCAGGTGGTATTTTGTGGTATTTTCCAGCAAAACCTCCCTCTGTGCTAAACAACTTTAGATTTATTAGTCATTACTGTATTGCGCTCAGTGCTGCCCTCAATTAAACTAAATCTGTCCAACCCAGAAGTACTCTGGCAGTGCTGTGGAAAAAGACTCCTCTTAGCCTATTCCCATAGTACAACCCTGAGAAGAAGATAGCTGAGGGGTTTCCAAAGCAGAGGAGGGGAAAACAACATGGTTGCTCTTAAAAACTGTATAAAAATAGGACTTCCGGTGGTGCTTTCCTTGTTCACGGACCGGAGACCACGATTGTGCTCAGCTTCGTTCCATGCTGTCTTGTCAGAGGGCCCTGAGCACCTGCTTTTGGGGCCAGGACCACCTTGTATGGGTGGTGAACAAGGGGGAGACCACCAGCTGGGTCGAGGGGAGCACATCTCCCCTCCCTGGCTAGGCATACTCCCTTCCAAAGGTGGGCTGTAGTGGTGATCAAATATGGCCAGCCTGAAGAGGAAGAGCTAACCAGCACAAAGATCATGGTGGAGCAGTGAAGAAGAGGACAGCGTGAAAATTGGGCTAACCAGACACGATATCTGGACATAAAGGTACCCCGGAATTAAGATTCTAAGAAATGTTTAGGAAAGATAGTAAAAGCGGTGACCAGAGAAAGTAGGGCGGGGGGATGGACAGATGAAAGGGGCTTTGAACTTTGAAAGGAGGAAGCCAGAAGAAAATACCTGTTCAAATTGGATAAATATATGATTTTGGCATTAAATAGACATAATTAAAGCTGAACTTGAACATGTCAAAAAAAAGAAAAAACACCACTAACTGGTATTTGGACTTATTGGATTTTTGAAATTTACCTAAATAGAGAAGAGAAAGTGGGGTGGGTGGGGGGTGGAATTTGGATATAACAGAGAGTGCCATCTAGTGGTAAAGGAAAATTTTCGTGATTCTAAAAAAAACGCCTGGCTCTTTTAAAAGTGGAATTTGATACAAAGTAAGAGAAACTTAGTTACAATAAAATAGAAACCTTGGAAAGTGAAAACACAGAACGTCAAAATAAAAGAAAGAAGCATGAAGAAATTACTCTGGGACTGTTTAGTGATCTTGGCATAAACTTAAATTTATGGATCTTGGAATATTTGATGAATCTGGGAAAAAACTTAGAGGAATAAATAAAAGCTGATCGTTGGAAATAAAGACGTTGGTCGAATTAAATTATTGTACAATCGGTTTGGACTTAAAGAGTAAAGAAAGAGATAAAGAAAATATAATAGAAGTATTTAAAAATGGCAGAACTATTTTTGGAATTAAAAATAGAACTAAGAAACATAAAAGAAATGCTACATGAAAGAGGTGAGTCGTGCTGCCTTGCCTTACAATCATTAGAAATGGCAGTTCTGGAATATGAAAAACAACGAGTGCCAGAAGGGGAAGAGTTGATTTAAAAAGAGGCCATCTACAACGAATAATTGGAGCAACGAATATTAAAGCGAAGGGGAAAAAGAATGGGAATTAAAACTTGGAGATTTGAGGAGGCAATTAAAAAGGGGAATGTTTTGAAAGCCAAACAAAGTAAAAGGAAACAGCAAAAAAGGGAATTACAGAAGAAAGCTTTAAAGGGGGAAGGGAATAAAAACTGGAGTAAGAAAAGGAGGGAAAAAATGAAGGAAAAAAGAAGTAATAAGAAAAAGAACCAGGAAGTAAAGAGATATGGAAATCGAACAAAAATGAAAAGAAATTGTTTATTTAAAAGACATAGAGTATATAATGGTTAGATAAGGATTAAGAAAGGGGATTCTGCAAGGTAATGTGGTGTATTATAAATGTATTTGAAGTAATAAATTACTTAGAAGGTAGGAAAATATAGACTTTTAGAACTGATGTTTTCTTGTTATTTGTTAAATTATGCATAGAGATAAATGGAATAAATGTGAAAAAGAAACTATAAGTGTATTAACTGTTTAATGAATTCAAGAATATAGTTGAAATGAATTATGAGAATTGTTGTAAAGAGATTAACATCAGTTTTTATGATTAATTGAATAGATTAATTTAATTGAAATTATTAATGATTTGATGTAACTGAAGGGAAAAGTGCCATGCGGAATCCAGTCTAAAATGCATATGTGTTACGTAGTTGTTAGGAGATCATTGTTATTAATTTTTAGGTGATAATTAAAAAGTCAATTATTATTGGGAATTAAAAAGGAATTAATTAAATGATGTATAAGGTAAAGGGGTGGTACACTAAAATTTGTGATTGTGGGGGGAAAATTTTGAATTTTTTGAATTAGGATGAAATTTTTGAAATGATAGAATATGCGATGAAATTGCAAACCTGGCAGATAAAAGTATAATGAATATGAAGATATGAGAATTATTTAAAGTAAAAAGAAATAGGTTAAGAAATGAATAGAAAATATATAAAATAAGTCTGAGAAAAGTATTTGAGAAAATTTATACAAAATGTGTAATGTAATGATAGGATATGAAATCAAATGTGAAAGATGAATATATAACTAAGGTCATGTTTGTATGGAAATGTGAAAACCTGGAATCATGATGTTCACTAAAAAAAGATGTTTTTGAAATGTGAAAAAACTAAAAAAAAACTTTTTCTAAAATAAACCTGTATAAAAATTGAATCAAATCAAATTGAATTGAATTCTTTATTGGCCAAGTGTGATTGGACACAAGGAATTTGTCTTTGGTGCATAAGCTCTCCGTGTACATAAAAGATATAAGTGATAAATCATGATCATCATGAATACATTCATTATGAATCATAAGATAACATGTAGTGATAGTCATAGGATACTTAAATAAGCAATCAACAAAAATCTAGGAAACTAAATAAAATATAGATTGTAATCAGTTTGGACCGGTTCAGCCGAACCCGTATTTCCAACAATCAGCTGGGCAGTGATCAGCTATGCCACTTGATTTAGATTAGTTAGAAAGCAGGAGATCGTTGGACTTACCTTCAAAATGCTTCTTTTTTCAGGCCCAGGAGGCTTCCCTGAGGCCCACTAGGCCAAAAACAGGGTGGGATGCTGCGAATGAAAAAAAAAAGAGAAAGAAAGAGGGAGGGAGCAAGGGAAGAAAGGGAGGGAGGAGAGAAAGAAAAAGAAAGAGGGAGGGAAGGAAAAAGGAGATGAAGGAAGGATCACAAATCTTGGCACGAGATGCAGCTTCAGAGCACAGCAATCCAGGGCTGGAAGGTACCTGGAGGTCATCTAGTCCAACCTCCTCCAGAAAGTGAGTTTCTGTCATTTTACACACCCCCAGTCACATGACCACGTAGCCATGCCCACCAAGCCACATCCACTGAACCAGTAGTAAACATTTAATCCTATCACTGAAAAGGAGATAGGTAATAGGAAGGATGAGAAGAATAATAGTAATTACAGTCTTAGTAAATAGTTTGACAGTTGTGTTGTGTTGTGGGAATTAGTTGTTTAGCACAGTGATGGCATGCGGAAAAAAACTGTCCTGTGTCTAGTTATTTCGGTGTGCAATAAAATAAAAACACTGCCAGTTAATTTATTATTGATTATCAAATTTAATCAAAGGTAGTGTCAACTTTCAAAATTTCATAAAAAATATGTCACATATATATCTCTGTATTATGTTGAGCTAGTGTCAACCAGTGGTGCGATTCAACTGGTGTAGCAACAAATTATTCATAGCTATCTTTTCCAATAACTAATTGTATAATGATTGTATGAATAATATATATTGAATACTTTTACAATTAGCAGTGGTTTGGGTTGTTATTTAGCAGTATTTCCTTTTCTTAACTTCAGTTTTCAATATTTGTATTGCATGTTAAATGTGAAGTGGCATGAGGAGTTAGTAACAGAAAGATTGTGCATGTGTTCATAATGCAAAATTAACCTTTGTGATTGAGCTTTTACATCTAAACACTAGGAACAGTCATTTGTTTTGACAGCAAAATTAATTGAGACTAAAACAGTTGAAATTCCACTTGTATCAAGCTGTTCATTAGGAATTGCACTCTGGCTTTAGTGCTGTCAAAAAAATAACTTGTTCAACTATGATTAAATAGCAGAATGATGGTCGGTCCACTGCATTTGAGAAAGAGGTTGAATAAATTTTCTACTGCAGAAACAATTCAAAAGTGACATGTTGCAAGAGGGATAGAATGTGCATTGATTTCCAGCTGAGCTGTCAACTGGCACTGAGCCAGACATGCAAAGCTTTGGGGTTTTGAAGCAGCGTGTGAGGCATATGTAGTTTTGAGAAAATTTGTCGTCCTTTCATGCATGACTTCCTACTGGGAGATGGGGGCAGGGAAGGGAATCTGTTGTTTTACTCCAAAACCAGCCATTCAGTTTTCTTACGTGTATGAAGAAGAAGTTTAGTACTTAGTTGTTTTTAAGTAGGAGTTGCTTTTGAAAATAGTCCTACAGATTGATATTTGTTAAATGTATTTCATTTTGATTTGTGATTGTTTAGAAAGCCTAATCTTTTTTTCTACTTTAATTATTGATGCATTTTAAGAATATTCAAGAATTGTTCACCAATTTTTTTTTTCAGCATTCATTGTTTTCTTTCATTTTCTATTTACATATTTGATACATGTTCTAACTGGTCTAATTTAAACTGAGTATTTTAATTGTATCAGTTGACCTGCCATGACCCCATTCTCAAACTGAACTGTTTCAGAGCTGGTACTGATTAAATGACAGGTGACTTATGAGATCTGTGAATTTTCAATATTTCTTATTGTTCTTTAGTGCTGAAAATTTCTGTTGTAAAACAAAACATACCATAAGAACGACAAAATAGAGTTGGCTTTGTCCCCATATTTAAAATAATTAGAAAGTTCCTATTTAGATGGATGGTGATAATGATGCTGATGGGTCAGTGACTTAATTTGTATTTGTTTATCCTATTGAACATTATAGTAAAGCCATCTAATTTTCACCATTTAAATTACAAACCTGCTTTTATTTATACATATGATTGAATTTAATGCATATAGAACTCAACTGGGGAATCAGTTTGGAGTTGTGTAAATTTATCTGAGCATTCAGTAGGTGGCAGCATGTGGCCAACCTTCTCTTTTCTTGGAAGCTAAGTAGAATTGGGTCTTTGAATGGAAGATTACCAAGGAATCTCAGGGCTGTAGATGATTCAGAAATAGGAAGAACATTCAGAAAAAGATGGTGTCCTTAGTTTTAATGCAAAAAAACAATATTGATCTGTCTATGTAGTCACCAAGAGTCAAGCTCAATTTGAAGAGTGTCTTTTATCTTTTTAAATCTTTACAGAATTACGTTTTCAATTACTCTTGTCAGCAGCCTAGCTATCTTAACTCTTTAAAAAAAGTTGAAATATATTATATAATATTCTTTTACATGTATATATAATGTCAGCAATAACTGTTATAAATGTATTAATTGTAGGGTGATTATACTTTTCTGTTGATTCAATGAAGTGAATTCTGGGGCTTCTCATAAGTACCAAGCAGAAAAAAATATTTCTTTTATCAGTCCCTACTGGGACTGATGATCTTAGGTTTTTGATGATAAAGTAGTGGATTGAACATTGAGACGTCTCCAAATTTGATGTTCCCCCTCTATCCCCTAATCTGAATCAGTGATGGAGATATTCAAGAGTACTGGCCTAAGACAGAGCCTTGGGGTACCCCACTGCATACTTCCCTCCGTGTAGATTCAATTCCTGAGGATTACATATTGAGTGCAGTTGGTCAGCCAATTATGAAGATATCTGGTTGTGATGCTATCTAATCCACATTTTTCTATTTTATCAAGTAGTAGGTTGTGGTCCACTTTATCAAATGCCTTACTGAAGTCCAAGTAAATTATACCCACAGCATTTCTTTGGTCCAATAATTTTGTCATTTTTTTCAAAGAATGCAGCAAGATTGGTCTGGATGATCTGTTTTTGACAAACCCATGTTGGCTTTTGGTTTGTTTGCCTAAGTGTTCGCAGATTTGTTGCTAGATTATCTTTTCCAGAATCTTCCTAGGCATTGATGTAAGACTGATAAGGTCTGTAGTTTCCTGGATCCACTTTCCCCCTTTTTTGAAAATGAGAATTACATTTTAAGATAATGCATGCCTGCATATATTAGGTTCCTTCCAACTCTGTTACTCTGTTCTGTTATTACCAAGATCTGGCTCAGGCTGTCTCTGAGATTTGTCCAGATTTTTGGTCTCTCTGTGGCCTTGATACAAGAGCTTGCATGTGTTTGGGTGAGTGTGGGTGGGTGTGCATGCGCGCATGCACATACAAGTGCTGTTTTTGATCATTTTAAATATGTCCTTCCTACAACCAGGAGTTCCTCTCCAAGGTAGCTATATGAATATCAGTATGCTATTTTGCATCTTATGGACAAGCAATAACATACTAATGCATAACACAAAATAATTAATTAAAGAGTAACATTTTTCTTGTTTTCAGGACTGATTGAATTTGAAGAATGTAATACAGCCAGTGCAGTTGAGGGTAAGTTTTTCTTCATTGTAAAAATGATTTAAAACATGTAAATGTTTTAACATCCAATATAGGTTCTTTTGGTAATAATTAGGAATAATCTGTTAAAATATTAAGTGAAATACCTAAAGAGGAACATATGTCTGTTTCGATTTGATAGGATCCATTGTGAGCCACAGGTTGCTTTGTATAGAAGCAACAAAAATATTCTCATAATTATTGTTTCTAAATAAGAAGCAAATAGCTTTTCAGCATTCCCATAAGTATATTCAGTTTTTATTTTTTTGCATCTGTCCTTTTCCCATTTTCCAACAAGTACAGAACACTTACTAGTTGTATTCTCTGGCTCTCCAGAGAATTACCTGTAAAAATTACCTGCAATTTTTTTTAGCATCCTGAGGTTCTCTGATGATTTATTATTGACTTAAAATCTGATCAACAATATGTTATTCACCTGACGAGGGGCTCCAGTCAGCCTAACTCAAAGCCTATTGATGTCACTTAACAGTTTCCCTCTGATCAGAACCAGGACAATATTGAGAGGGCTAATCTCCAGGCTAATCATGGGTTTTGATTCCCTGAAAATATTTACGAGCAAATATTAACAGGTGGGGATTGCACTGTGTTTGCCTGGATAAGTCGCCATTCAACTTGGCCAAGCAGAATTTAACTTGACAGATTTAATAAAGTAAAGATGTGTTACAGAAGTCATTTGAAATTTTAGGGGCTCATAGCAACCACAATGTTTGAGTACCCCGGATATAAGCAGAAATCTTGATTCAGAGCCATGTTTAAGATTAAAAACATTGAATGCTTTAATTTTAATGGATTAAGTAGCCCAATTTATTGGCAGTGCTTTTGTAATGACATATGGTAATCTCATGAAATAAATTACCTTCGTATTTGCTATACGTGTGCATTATTTCAATGTATGCTGAATAACATGTACTTTTTAATTTCTATCTAATAATAATTTACTTGCAGGAATAAAGCCAAGAAAAAGGAAGCATTTTGGATTGTCGGGGATTATTAAGAAGGAAAAAGATGTAGAATCTATGTAAGTATATTTCAAATAAAAATATAAAAAATAATGTTATAATAAAAGCACAAAAATTATTTTATAATTCTTACTGTAAAATGTCAAGAGCTACTTTTAAAGACTATTAGAAATAGTCCTTTATACTTATGTATATTCTTCTAAACTTGGAAAATTCAATTTTTGACAAGAGCATTAATGAATTAATTTCACACATATATTTTCTAAACATAGGCTTATATATTATTTTATGCAAAATCACTTTCCAGTTCAAATTATGTATATTCCCACAATAATCCACCTAGAGCTGAGAACTTTGTTTATGGGGCTCAAAATACATATTATATACATCCTAAAGAATGCAGTTAGTTGTCAAGGAGAAGAAAAGGGAATTTGTTTCCTAACTCATTTGTTTTATCTTAAGTTTTAATCATAACTCTATGTAGTAGTGATTATTGAAGTTTTTTAGGCATCTCTTAGCACTATATTACATTCCAATCTTCTTTTGTATTAGTGTAAGTGCCATTTTTAATTGATTTAACAGTGTCACTGCCAATATTGTAGTTCCAACAATAAAAGAAGCACATACTCTTTCCGAGCAATGTAAGATTAATCCACATGCCATTTTTATCCTGCATAAAATAATATTTGGATTAACTATATATGTTTTAAGTATCTTACCATTTTCTTAAATATAGTTACTAAATGGTTAAAAAAAGTGTCATCAAAATTATGGAATTCACTTGTCCAAGAGCCCCTATCCACTTACAACATAGAAAAATAGGAAATGGAACAATGTTAATGTCAGCAAATCCTCTCATATTTCATTACTAGATGATTTGTATCTGTAACTACTACACTAAGCATGCTATTGCCGTGTGTGTGTGTGTGTGTATGTTTTCTTAGGTTTTCGCGGGTACTTACATGTATGGCATTCAGCTTTATTCGGGTATTTTCCCACGTCATTGTAGTTGTGTTTTTAAAGTTGTAGCAATGTTTTGGCAGAATCTCATCTGCCATCATCAGGCTTCTGTATAGTGTTCATCTGTGAATCAGACTTTGACAGTTGTCTGACTCAGAGACGAACACACTACAGAAGCCTGATGATGGCAGATGAGATTCTGCCGAAACGTTGCTACAACTTTAAAAGCACAACTATAATGACGTGGGAAAATACCCAAACAAAGCTGAATACCATACAAACATACATACATACATACATACATACATACATACATACATCATTTTAAGAATTTTGACTGAAATTGATAGTCTAAACATTTTTATGACTAAATAAAATATACATTGATTCATTGACTTCTAGGATGATAGTAAGAGGTTATGTATATAGCAAGACAAAATTAGACAATACATATAAGTATAGCAATTTTCTGATTTATTGATGTGTGCTTTTTTACAGAGAATGTCAAGATGCAGATTCAGTAGTAAGTATATATGAATAATATGAGTGTTTGTGTATGTGTGTGTGTGTGTGTGTGTGTGTGTGAGAGAGAGAGAGAGAGAGAGAGAGAGAGAGAGAGAGAGAGAGAGAGAAAATGAATGAGTGAGTGAATGAATTAATGATGTTAATGGAGATTCTCAGTCATCTAGGTCATGATTGTCCCAAAGAGTGCTTTTTCAAGAGGCAACCAGACTTTCTGGTTTTTCTTTGAAGACGTTTCACTTGTCATCCAAGAAGCTTCTTCAGAGCGAAATACCTTCAGGAAAAAAAAACCACCAGTTGCGTCTTGAAAAAGCACCTTTGGTATATATGAATAATGTTACAGTTTCAAGCAAGTGCCAGTTTTATCATCCATTTTCTTTCTAATTATTTTTGGCTATTTATCAGAATTTAACCTAAGATGGCAGAAAAGCAGAATTTTCTGCATCAACATTAGAGTTACTGCTCAAAGTTACTAGAGGGGGATATACAGCCAATCTTTGAAGTTGCAGCCATTGCAGTGTCCCCAAGATCCCCTGATTGCGATTCAGGCAATTGGCAACTTCAGGCAATTACAACTACAAGTGTTACAGCATCCTCAGTCATGTGATCATCATTTGCAATAAGCAGAGTCATGTACACTTACAGCCGTATAAAGGCTCCTGCTGCTTTTTGTCCCTGAGCAGCATGAGGACGTGTACTTCATAGCGCCTGACCACCGATATTCTGTAGCACTCGCTTGTGGAATTCACCAGCCCATGGCATCCACCTGCCTGCCCATACTTGGTTGTGTGGATCCGCCATGTAGCTCTCACCAACTGACCTGTTGCCCAGGACACAATTTCAGCTATGGAGGGACAGAGTTTTAGGGTTGTAAGCAGGTACGTATGGATTCTCATACCATGTCATGGTCATGTAAGGTCCTCAGTTAATAATCTATCTGGTTCCCACTTAATGGCAATCGGGACTGCTGGGATTGCCATTGCTATGCAATATGATCACATGTCTTTTGCTTTATGAAGGCAATTCTGATCACAATTATCATTGTTAAATTATATATACCTAGAATGTCCAGAAAAATTGTAGGCAAAACTATTTTTGGTCTAATTATAAATAATAATAATAATATTCTAATTACTATTAAAATAATAAAACTTTCTTTATGAAAAATTAATGGATTTGATTTTTATTTAAGCAATAATACAATATTAAAAATGAAAATTATCTTTAAGGTTTATTTGAACAGAATGATTTTTGCATGGCTTTGATGGAACTTTATTGGATATACAGTATCTAGTTCTCCTGTTAAAACTAGAATTATGTCATTCATGTAGTTACTGGTTTGACAACTGTTATAATCTATAACTTAGATTAACCTATAATATTTATTTTTTTATCTGGATGTTTCACTACTCCTTGTTTAATAATTAGTAAACAAATTCATGCATTTATCTGTTCAGTAAGCTTTTTATTTTATTATTTCCCATGTATCCCACTAGATTAATTCTGTATCAGTTTCAGAATATAAAAACAATTTTCTATATCATTTTATATCATTTATCATTTCTTTCTTTTATATATAATTTTTATAAAGGGTTTGGTTACAGTAATAAAAAAAAATACAAATTAAATTTAAAGAAAAAAGAATACTAAATATAAAAAGTGTAGAAAAAAGAATATTATGACCATCCCAGAGTCCCCATAGCATCCCATCAACATTCAGGTGCTTGGCAACTAGAATGTACAAATTTATGACAGATGGAGATGCTGGGGTCATGTGGTCATTATTTGTGACCTTTCTTGCTGGCTTCCAGTAAGAAAAGGAGGAATGCTCCAATCTTCCTATGCAAACTTTTTATATACCGTATTTTTCAGAATATAAGATGTTCTGAAGTTTAAGATGCACCTAGCCTTTGGGGGAGGAAAGCAAGAAAAAAAATCTGCGTCTGCCCAGCAATTTGCCTCCTTCCAGCAAACAGCCTGATAAGCTTCAGCACAGAATTAGCACAAGCAGCTGATTGTCGGTTGGATCAGCCACCTGATGATCAGCTGTTTCAGGCTACAGGAATTGTCTGCGCCTATTGCCTCTGCATGCCCCTTTTCAGTCTCCGCATCCCGTTTTTGGCCTCCGTGCTCCCCATTTTTGGCCTGTTCCAATCTCCGCTGCCTAGAGCAGGCTAAAAATGGGGCCTGCAGAGACCGAAAACGGGGCACATGGAGGTGGCAATAAGCAATGGCAATCCCGTCAGGAGGCTGATCCAACTGACAATCAGCTAATCAGGCTGTGCTGAAGCTGACCAGGCTGTTTGCTGTTTGCTTCAAGCAGGCAAATTGCTGGGAGGCAGAGGCCGGCGGATGGGCAGGGCTTTGGCAACATTCCTTGTATCAGACACACAGACATTTCCACCCACTTTTTGGGGGGTGCATCTTATACACCGAAAAATATGGTAACTTTTATCCAGATAATCCTCTTCCTGCAAGTGTGATGACCCAGAGTGGTTAACAAAATCCAAAACATAAATAAATGTCCTTTAATGACTCCAGTTTGGCCCCACTGTTCAATAATACTCAGTTGGAGATAAAACATACTCAAAAATAGTCTTCAAAAGAAAGCAATACAGTCCAAATTTAATGAGCAGATAGAGGTGAAATAAAAAACCAAACCAACTACAATGATGAAATTTCCACAATGGAACAAAAGAAGTATTTACCAAATTCAAGGAATCACAGACAAGGCACAGTCTGTTGGAAGTACGCCAACCAAGATAACTTCAGACCAAAATAAAACATGCTTTTTGTTTCCAGCGTCTGCCAATACGCAGGTCCAAATTCTTATTCAGTTCTCACAGCTGCAGCCCATGAAAAGGATCAAGGCTCTCTCCTCCCGAGGAGACCATGTCTCTCTCTTATCCTCTCCTCCCTGCATGCCTTAGGATGGATAGGGGATGGGCCTGGGTCCTCCTCTGACTGCCCAGCTGGCCTCTGCCCTTCCCCAACCTCCTCCACAATCTCCACAACCACACTTCCACTCCCTATCAGCTGTTCCTCCTCTCCTCAGAGTCAGTCTTCACCAGGGGCATGACAGCAAGTCATAAATCAAAGGATGTGTGTCTTTGGTGGCTAACCTACAAGGAGTGCACTAATGACTCTGTCTAATGATTAACAAAGGTTAATCTTTATTTCATTATAAAGATTTTATTCTTATTACTTGGCTCTGCCTGTTGGCGTGGGAGCCAGATGGGGGAATTCCGTGCTGGAGATGGCTGCTAGATTGATGGCAGACTCTATTCCCCTCCACACTCTCTGCTCTCCACCCATCCAACCTTTTGCTTGTCATTTTGATAATTATTCTGGTGTTCCTTTGTCATTGTTCTATTTTATTTTTGTTTGCACTTTTTTCATTCTTTTTTATTATTGTAAGCATCATAGAATAGTGCCATTGCAAGCTAGGTGGCAAAAAAAAGAAATTAAATAAATAAAAGGATTACTTTCATAAGAAAAATAAAAATATAATTTCCAGGATATTAAGCAACAGGATAGAAGCCTGATAGAAGCAGTTAAAAATCATGGCTATGCTGTGAAGATTGTTGCTTCCAAGCTATGAAGAGTCCATTTTGAGAGTTGTACTGAGCCCTGCTTTGAAAAAGGTGTCTTTAGTCAAGACTTTTCAGCATAAATTAGTTAATTCTTTTCATATAGTCTTTTTATATAGCATTTAACTGTTTTCCATGTCGTATTTTAGCCATTTCTATCAAGTATGAGTTCTACTGAAACATATTTTAAAATAAGTTTTTTCCTCCCAGAACATTCCAGCTGTAGATGATGAAGGGTATAGCATTAAACCTAAAGATTGTCAAAATATCCTTTGTTGTTATTATACTTAGTATTTTTACATATGAAACGTTAAATGATTTTATAAAGCATTCTGTTTGCAGTAGTTGGATACAATATTAATTAACTTGGCATTCTCAGAGTGTGGATCTCAACCTCCTGTGTGTGTGTGGGGGGGGGGAGTGCTGGTTGCAAAATAATGAAGAGAAGGTTGCTGAAGAGTTTTCCTCACAAACTGGTCATTTTGATGCATAAGTGTTCTGAACAGAGAACAACACAACAGTTCTACCACCTGTTCTTCCTCCCCCCCCCTCCACTTTTTTTAAAGCACACTACTATTCTTTTCAAAAGCAAGGGTGATAATGTCTGGAGGGAGAAAGTTTTTATGCAGACCCTTGTTCTGCAGAGACAGCTATTAAAGACCGCTGTGAGGAAGCAGAAATTGCAAGAGTATTGGGAGGAATACCCAGTGCTAGTCTAGAAGGGGAAGAATAGATGTGCTGTACTGCTACCTCAGTGCAGCTTCATTGACTGTGAGAGGGCCAAATGCAACTTGCAGCCTGTTAGTCTTTCATAAGCTGCAGCATTTTACGAGTTTTATGGAAAACTGATGTAAGGCAATAAGACATCTTTTCCATGATATACGGACTATAATTTAATTATTAAGTAAAAGGAGTATATTATTTTTTTCCTCAGCTCTAACCCCAGTGAGTTATCAGTTTTATTCATTCAGTGGGTTGGGATACATTTGTGATAGCAGTGTTTGGGAACCCTGTATTAATTGATTGTTCAACCTTTTCCTTAACTGCAAATAACATGCCAAAGAAAACCACTTTTATTCCTCAAGTGATTCTGACTCTGAAGATGATGAACCCAGAAAGTTCCGTGTGGAAATTAAACCTGTGCATTCAGACTGTAGTTCTCATTATACAGTGCCTTCTTTGGATGAATTAAAAGAATCAATAGGAAACATCACACTTTCACCAGCTGTATCTGTAAGTAAACTTTATAAGCTATTTAGTATATAGTAATAGGGAAAATATACCATAACTAATACTTTCATAGGAACATCAACTCATTTAGCATAACTATTTTAGAATGTTTTATTAACGGTTTTTAGAGAAGGAATGGAGCAATTAATGTTACATTCAAGGAATGTATATGAATACAAAAAAATGAGAAAAATAACACCAAGAAAGAAACAGTACAGCTGAGTATGTTAGCTGTACTGTTTTAAGAACAGTCTTAATAATACTTAAATGTATTTTCTACAGACTTGTGCAGCCCTATATCATAAACTTGTTTTAAAAAGCACGAATAGTCATTTCAGTTCAAACTGGCATCATTTGTATTTTGAAGTCAGACGTTTTAATTATGTTCAGCGAGAGAGAGATTTAAACTACGTGTGACATGCAAGAGCTAGATGTTTTCTTGGTTAAGTTCTATCCATTGCCTGATACAAAATACTTTTTGTTGGGCTCCTTTATTCATGCTATCTAAAATGTGAGAAACAGAAAAGAAAAGTTTTCTTCAGTATAGCTAGTTACAGAATAGTCTAAATTTTGTAGGGGGATCCTGAATAACTCCGTGAATCTTTTCCCAATTTGAATTGTTTCAAAAGAGTGGAAGCAAAATCATTCTATCATCCAATATTTCACTCCCGTTATCCATTGGCTTTTGTTCTTTTGCAAGTATGGGAAACTCTCCCAGATGCCTATTTCTCCCAGGGGAAAGAAATGAAACAGTTCTGTTTGAAGATTTTCCAGAATAGTCCATAGATTCTAATTTATTTATCTTGCTGAATATTTGTAAACAACCTAATCAAGCAGTCCTAGAGGTTTACAGTATATACAACATATATTCAAAAACTCCATAAAACCCCAATATTGTTGTTTTAAATGGTGCTGGCTACTTTATTACAACTTTCAACTTTATGTAAATTGTGGGAAAATCACGATAGTGTAGACTCTAGTGGCCCAAATTTAATCTAGGATGAATAGTTGCAACTTTGAACAACACTTTGTTAAGTGTTACAAAATGCAATCAAACAAAAAGTGCTACTTTTAGGTCAGTGGATTTTTTAAAAAGAAATATTGTCCATTAAAATAACAGGATTATTTAAAAACTTTATTAACACTTTGATGCTTTAGGCTTGAAAATTAGAAGAATGACATTTTGTACATATAGCATGTACAAAACTGTGTGTAATTATGTTTTCCTTATTTTATTTCCTATGCTAACAGAGACATAGTCCTGTAAGTATTAAATCATATTTAATTAGAAGTATCATACTACTTAATAAGGAATATAGCTAGAATATTGTAATTGATTTTTTATACTGTAATGTTCTGTAATACACAGTTCACTCAAAGCTGCCAGTTAGAGTTATGCCATGAAAATTGTAAAATGGTTTATCCTTGTAATAATAAATTAGTAATAAGACGGGCAATAAAATCCTAGTATAATATTTTATCAACATTTTCAAACTTTGAATCTAATTAGCCTCACACCATAAAAACAGGATTTGATTCACAGATAGTCATTGACCTACAACCACAATTGACCTTGGGACCATAATTTCAATCATAGGCCATGAAGATCATAAATCAGGCACCCATGTGACTGGCCTTGATTTTATGACTGTTTTTACAGTGGTCTTTAAGTGAATCAAGTCATAAGTCAAAATACATTCAGAAACCAGCAAAAAACACTGGAAACCAGCAAAAAACGTTGCACATCAGGGTCAAATGTCTATGGGACACTACAACCAGTTTTAGGTGTAAGCTGGTTGCCAAGCCTGAAATGTGATCTGGAGGGGATGCAGTGTTTTACAACAGCCAGAAGTATTTTAGGAGCTGTAAAGCACCCTTTCCAAAGTCATTGTAACTCTGAACAGTCATTAATGACTGGTCATAAGTACTCTTATGTACTCTTATTCAACACCAGAAGCCAAACATTTTCTTGAAAATACCAGTGTTTTACCACAATGAACGTGACATCTGTGTAAAAGCACTGACCTGTGGCCATCCTGATCTTTAAGTTCAGTATGATTTGAACAATGGTGCCATTCTTTTTACCTTAGAGCTGAAAACTTGTTCCTTTTAAGTTTAAGCCTCAAAAAAGAAAATATCCCAGGTCTTTCCCAAGTCAAAACTAGGATGGGGCTTGTTTACAAGCTGCATTTCCAAGACAGCTTTTGGAACGGTCATGACAGGCACCTAACATTAGGCAAAATGGTTCCAGTAATCAATTTTCTTTTTAAATTGGCCATTCAGTAATTAATATCTCATACCAAGGAAGTGAATTTGTATATCAATTTCATATAAGTTATTGTTATGATTTGTTATGTTTATCTAAGTCTTCGATGCTTTTAGTTTCATATTTGTTAAGTGCACATTTTTTACAGGAGGTTCAGAATTCAGAGCACCATGCAGAGGCTGCCTAAAACCACCTTTATATAGAATAATTGGCTTTCAGTATAGAGTGACAGCTGTTTGTTTTAAATCACCCATAGTTGTTGTTATCATTATCGTTATCATCATCATTATTATTATTATTATTATTATTATTATTATTATTATTATTATTAT